CAGAAAGAGAGGCCTCGGCATGGATATTGAAATCTCCCAAGACCAAGAGCCGTTGGGAGTTCAACGCCATGTCCGAGACCACTCCTGCTAGCTCAGGTAAGGAGACTGTAGTGCAGCGGGGTGGTCGGTACACTAACAGAATCCCTATCCTGTCCCGGTCACCTATCCTAAAGCCGGCACATTCGAATGAAGATGATTGTGGGATGGGACGCCTGATCAGTGGAATAAAGTCCTTATAGACCACTGCGACTCCGCCTCCCCGCCCTCCAAGCCTTGGTTGGTGCTGAACAGAGTAGCCTGGTGGACAGAGTTGGGAGAGATTAACCCCTCCCCCCTCGTCCAACCAGGTTTCTGTTATACAAGCCAGGTCAGCTCGTTCTTCTTGGATTAGATCTTGAATAATGGAGGTTTTTCCGTTAACTGACCTGGCATTGAACAGCACCACCTTTAGCTTGGAGGGGCCACCATCCTGGCACCTCAGTTGTATTTTGTCGGGAGTAGGTTTTGGAATTGCCAATCTATTCTTAATTTCGGGCCAGATCAAAGTGTTTATTTTCGGAATTGCCAATGTCCTATTAAAAATTTTGGGCCGAATTTGCTTCTGTCTAGAATTTCTAGCATCTTTAGAAGTTATCAAATTATTGCTATCAATTTTGGGCCAAGATGGAAATTTTGTTCTCCCTTTCCCGTATCTCCCTTTACCAGTCACCACCTCTATAGCAGTTCCCCCACCCGCAGATAGTATTCAGTCCAATGATAGTATTATCATTGTATACTGTCTTGCCCTTTTCCCATGTGTGTGATGCACAGAGACCACAATGAACATAAATAGATTGCTCATTCATATCTAATGTTCTTCAAGTGGTCCTTTGGGCATTCTTACAAACCACCCTAACTGCCCTCCACCCCCCAGATAGCAAAAATCCGAGGTGTCAAGAAGATGCTGGTCAGCTGCTGTGCACAAACACAGGCCAGTATGTGTGATTGCACACTCAAATAACTCTAGTTACAAGTATTTAAACTTTAGGTTTCAGTCATTTTCCAATATGGTGTTGCAGAATGAATATGTTCCATGAATCCGAGATGGAAGTAGAGTCTGTTCATTAACAAGAGGCTTTACTTGAGCTATACAACATGGCAAGACTTCACATGGCAAGATAATACCTGCCAGAGGAGAGAGAAAGAGTCTATTTTCTGAAACCCCCATATTTATTATTTTAAAAATATTATGAAACTGTCATGCACAAAACTCTTTAGTGATGGAGTAGCAAATTGCTGAATCTATACATTAAAATTTGAAATAATATCATGTAAACTAAAGTTCAGATTTGAAATAATATCATGTAAACTAAAGTTCACATTAAAATTTATATATGGATAGCATTCAGTAGCTTAATTATTATGGTTGTGACTCTCAAACTGCCAGAACTTTTTTACTTGCAGTTGCAGTATGCAGAATGCAAACTCTTGAAGTCTCACTTTCCAGTGTAGTCTGAACAATCTGAACTTTAGTTTACATGATATTATTTCAAAAGTAAAGCAAAGAGTTAGGAACTTGCTGTAGCATTGTATTTTCATGAAAATTTGAAAACGGAAGAGCCCCATTTGGTAAACAAAATATTACTAGCAAGTAATGTAGAAAGTGCTGTATATATAAAGTACAGTATTATGAATGAGTGTCTATTTTTTCCAACTGGAGAAGAATAGGCAGCAATGGTCTCCATGCGAAGTTATCTTTGTTTGTTTTTTTTAACTTTTTTTAGATCATTGGACTGAATACTATCTTCACAAGATTTCAAATTTTAATCCAGATTGGTAAGTACTTTAGCACCTCTACTATAGATTTCCTGAAGGTCCAGCGGAAAATGAATACTGCACCTCTTCACACCTTGACCCTACAGACAAAGGGACTTGACCTGTCTGTTATATGAAGGAAACAACTAATGAAGCTGCCTGCCATCTCGATTCTGTATTATTTCCTTGCCTGATAGAGACTCTTAGTCATAGGTTTTGTCAACACCTGTTACCTGAGCGTTTGCACTGGGGACAGTACTTTATCCCTTCCATAGTTTTTTTAACAGAGTAAGGTTTTCTTAAAATTAGCTCCTTTAGTGCGATCTCTGAATAGCTGTTCTTGCTGACTTATAAGAAAATATGCAAACATACTGCTTTAAAAAAAGTTTCCTTAGAGTTTCAATGTTTTTTAAAAAGTTTCAAATGTTAATTTTGTAGCTACTCCTTGTTTGCTTTTTCCATACTTGCTGCTGTATACCCCCCTGGTCTTTAATAAAGAAGATTTTTGGGAGGAAGTAGCAAATAATATAGATTCTTCTAGAATTGTATATATGAGGCTGCTAGATGTCTCACAGAGGGTCTTGGTGAGCTCAACTTTAGTTCTTGGATGATACTGTGGGAGCGAAATGTTTGAGGCTGTGGGTGCCTGCTTTTGAGTTTCAGTAGTTTAGATGTGCCTTGAATCATGCAGAGGAATATTGCAGGGAACACTTATAGCAGCACACAGTGCCAGTCAGTTTGACTATTTTATTAGAGTCCTCTGTGTTTCACAATGGGAAATGTTTGAGGGAATCTATATTATTTCCTTTATTCTTATTTACCTCTTTTGGTCAGCAATAACTATTACAAAGGCTGCATGTCAACTCAAGAAAATGCATTGCTCATATAGGAGGAAGGAGACAAGAAACTGCTTGCTTAAAATGATGGTACAGATTCTTTCTACAAAGTGTTTTATGATTTATTATGTTCTAACCTTAACTATACCTTCTGCTGTTTCTTACCCCTTTAGAGTAACCTCTCATTTTCAGACTTTTCATTTTTGACTGTACTTTGTTATGAAAACTCTTTGTCACTTTTCATCAGCATTGATTTTGCTATTTTCATTTGGTATACCCAGTCTTATTAAGTGGGATCAACATTGATACTACTGTCATGCATAGGACCTTCAGTCAAGAATTGTTTAAAGTCTAACATAAAGTAGATTCACTTGCATTCTAGAGGATACTGACAGAAGTTAAAATGCTGTCATTGTCAGTCATGTAGTTTACGAACTTTTCTGGGGCCTTTAGAACCTAAAACAGAGGCAGGAAACTATTAGGATCTTTATTGTCCCTTTTTAGGATCCTAGAGAGTTGTGTATACAATCGCTCAGCCACCATAGCCATTTGATGCAACTCCATTCCCTATTCCTTTCTTATCATGGTTTTTAAATGGGATTCAAAACCCAATAAAGGATGTGGAATGAAACTTGCCTATGTTTTTATGGGCTCCAGGGCAGTTTTAGAAATAGGAAGTGTCCTTTTTTAAAAACATAAAAAGAGAATGCTGACTAGGACTCAGCTTTCTGTTTATTTGCATGTTCAAACCATAGCAGAACACTGTGTTTAGTAGCCTGAGAGAATCCAAAGCATGATAAAATTGTTCCTCCCACTTTTTTTGAGGAAAAGGTAGGATGGGGTTGGAAAACCAAGCTGGTAGGAGTAAAAAGCCATTATAAGACATTCCTGGTCCAGGCCCTTTGCACTTTACAATCTCAGGACAAAAACGAACATAAAGCATCAACCCAAATTTATTTTGATACACTATTTAGATGTAGATGTCAGTGGAAAGGGGCTCTGTAGGGCATATGGGGCCCACGGACTGCCCTTTTCCTACCCATGACTTAATAGACTGATAGAAACCTTGATTTTCACTGTCTTTGATACCTCACATGAGAGGCTGTCCATGTTTGCACCAAATCTGCCTAATTTCTGGAAGGTCGAGAACATTCCTTATTTTGTTATTACTGAGAGGTTTGTAATCTTAGCTGACAACAGCTCGAGCACTACCCATGTTTGCCATTCTGCTTACTCAGCAGAAGGTGGAAACCTGCTTGAATCTTCATGCATATCACATCAATTTTTCTTCGTGGACTTGAGCTTCCTATCCTATACTTAATGTAAACTACATTCCGCTTCTGTTGTATGTAGTCCTAGAAATTGATGCAGGTAGGTGAAATTCTGACTGATGACTTTTTTTTTTAAAAAAAATTAATGTTGCTAATGTCAGTCACTTATTTTTCTGCTCTGGTAGTTATTGGAAGAGGAGGGATTTCTGTCTGTTTACACACACACACACACACACACACACACACACACACAAATATAAACAAACAGCATACCTCAGCAACTTTTGGCAATGTCTTCAGTTCTAGGAGTGTCTTCAGCTTTGCCCTTGGTCTGCAGAGAAATAGAATGGCAGCAAAAGTGTTTCCCTCTTCTGTCTTTGTTCCTGTCACACTTGGAAGTAATTTCGTTTTAACTAGTACGAGCTCATAACTGCTCCTGTGTGCTTAATGTCTGCGACTCCCTCCCATGTTGTCCCTCTTGGCAGTGACAGCATGAGATCAATGGCTCCTGCCTGGCCTGTCACTATTGCCTATAAGGTTTTCAGTTTCCATATCGGAAACAGCCTTTCCTAAAGAGCTCAATCAATATGCTGCTCTGAGGCCTGTTCTCATTTGCTATATATAATCTGGACACATGCTGAATGTTAGTGTGTGTGTGTGTGCATTTGTGCACGCGCATGCACACACACAACACAGAGAAAGAGAATGAGCCAGTTCTCTGCTTTTGCTGGTTAGGATGTCACAGCTGTGCTTTTTCTCCTCCTCCTCCTTTTTCCTGCAGCTATTATTTCAGAGCTCAGGCCTGTATCCTGGCTCTGCTCTCTATGTGAATTCCGGCTCTGGGAATAATGGTACCTGATCACCTTGTGGAAACATCTCTGGGCTGAATGGGAGAACTGTGACTTTCTGTTCTCTGCAATTTCTGCTGTTTCAGGTAACCTGCTGTGAAGGTAAAGTGAGAGGGACGATGATGAGTGCGGTACCTTCCAAGAAACCCTACCGTAAGGCTCCTCCACAACACCGTGAGATCCACCATGAGCTGCCCATCCTACGTGATGACCAGGATGGTGTGATTTTGGCGGAGCAGAGTCAGGTAACTGAAGCCAGGGCAGCTAAGGGCCTGGTCCCACGGCGTCAGCAAAAAGGGTTTAGTTACACCAAGGCAGGCCAGCTCAAGCAGCAGGTGGATGGGTATGAGGTTTGCAACGTAAATTTTTCTTCCTGGTCTCTGGAGTCCAGCAGTGACAAGGAGATCTCAGGGTGCAGAGCAGAATTGAGCTTGAAGAATCGGACTCTATCACCTGTGTTATTACGCAGCGGGAAAATGGGGAGGCGGAATGTGAAACACTGTCGCCATCCTAACCGTGGCCGGCTCAGTAAATTCATGAGTCGCAGCGTAGAGACAGTAGTAGTTTCTGGAGATGAAGGCCAGCGGCCAACCTGCTCCTTCAAAAGCAGAAGCCTGGAGCGGTCACTTATGTTCAAGGAACCTGCAGAAGTCTTAGCACCGAGGAAGTACCGTGTTGTAACAAGCCACCTGCCTCTCAAAGGCATCTTGAAGCAGACAGAGATGCTGGCAGTGCAGCCAGAAAGCCTGCGTAAATCCCATTCAGTGGAGACCCTAGCTCGCAGCTGCCACTCTCGCAAGTATAGTGATCCTCAGCTGTGTTTCAACAGACGTGACAAGCATTCATTGGAACACAGCAGCATGAGCTCTTCTGAATCCCTCAGACGCAAAGAGAAGATCACAGAGGAGAAGCTCCAGTTCTCCAAATTCCTGGATGAGATCACTCACCGAGTGCTGAGCCCTGTCCACTTGCATTCCTTGGGTGAGGGAAGGAATGGAGAAGGTAGCCAGGACTCCGCTACTTCTCCCAGATGTTCCACACCAGAAGGCCCAAAGGAAAGTCAGCTTGGAGGCAGTAAGTGGACAGCAGAGAAGAGCCCTCGCCAACATAGGAGAAAATTGGAACGAAAGCGTGATGATATTGAAATGGGATCCTGTCATAGGAAACTGCCCGAGGAGATGGAGAGGGCTTCAAGACTAAGGAGGAAGCCTGTCCTGGCGAGGAAGGACAACAAGGAGAAATTCCTCTCCATGGAGAAGCGGGTGGTGGATTTGTGCCAGTATCAGCTGCAGCAACTGGCAGAGCTGGGCTTGGCAAGGGTGGCTTCTGAGCAGCAGCAGCAGCACCAGTCTTCACGGAAAACACCAGGTCAAGAGGGAGGGAGGGGCAAAGGGCGAGACCAGAGCAAGCACCTATTGCGGCATATGCGGGTGCCGCCTCTGGGTTTCAAACCCACCCAGAAGCCAGCACTGGAGTCAAGCTGCTTGGAGAAAGGGTCCTTCTCCCCTAACTCTCATTGGAACCAGGAGGAGGGTAGTGGCTCATCTCGAACCCCCCCTTCCTTCAGCTTAGCACAAAACAAGGTAAGTATTTGATGAGGAAGATCTGAGGATCAAGTACTTGTCCTTCATCTCCTGTTGTATGTATTTTAGCTGGGAGCACTGAGGAGACAGATTCCCTAATTTCTCATAAGTGAATTGTTGAAGGGATTTCCTTGTTTCAACCATATCTGAGAAGTATTGCTTTATAGCTTGTCAGACTAAGCCTCACTTGTTGTTTGTATAAAGAGATTATTCATTAAATAGAAAATTAAGACCATATGATCAATTTTCCATACTTCACACCTATTTCCATGCAACACAACTATTAGCTTGTGTTGCCTTCTTCTACCATCTAGCTTACCCTGTTTCTGTTTGTTCACCCCCTTTTCCTCCCAGACACTCCTACTACAGTGCTCCAGTTGGGAAAGGTGTATTCAGAGAGAACAGTAGGCGCTGTCTTGCTTTTTCTTGCTCTAGCCTCCATAATAACAGCTTCTATTCCTTGTGAGACCTCTTGTCTTTGCTGCTTCTTTATGTATGCAAGACTAGAGTACCAGCATGCTGCACCTATCTATTGCGGTTCACCCATTTAGGTAGACAACCTAGAAAAGGCAATAGGCATTCTCTGCTGAACTGTGAAGAAAAGTTGGGAATTACTATTCTTTCACTCAACAAAGAAAGGGATTACAAAGTCAAAGGCACTCGAAAAAGGAATGGTGTCATATTTTGTCCAGCATTTTCATTTGTATTAATAGGCATTAGAAAGAACGGGGAGCTGCAAGCCCTCTTAGTTTTGTGCTTGGTGTACAACAGTGTCATTGTCAGCTATTAGCATATCTGGGTCCATTAGTAGAACTCCCTCCCCTAGATTACTGGCCCTCTTGCTGACAGGTTGCCCTCTCATTGACAGGCTACTCGCCTCTCCTTTCCCTCTGACCCAGAAGGAAAGAGTGAGCAGACAGTGGTGGAAGTGAGAAAGAGGAGCCAGTTGCTAAGCAGCACAGGCTAATAAATAAGCTTGTGCAATAGTGAGGCACAGCAGCAGTTGGCAACCAAATCTTTATTGCCATCACTCTAAGGTAGAATCTTCCATTACAGGAAAAATATGTGATTAAAATAAAACAAAGCAAGTAGCACTGTATAAAGATATGAAAATAAAGTACTGTTGTATCTGACTAGGACAGATGGTCTGGGAACAAATTTCTGCTACGCCACAAAGCTCATAAAGTAATCTTGGGCCATTATTTTGAGGGTAAAATCTAAAGAAGCTTATCATGTATGTTGTTTGGATTCTCTGCAATAATGCCAGTAAATACTTACTTTTTGATTAGAACTACTTTCTTGAACAGTAGGGAAGGGTAAGAAATGTTTCAGGTCGCTCATTAAATGATATTACAGAAGGTTTACCAGTGCAAAGAGGGGCTTGCATTTGCTGACTTGTTCAAACAACATAATGTTAAGCTAAATATTGAGTGACTGTTTGTGGGCTACAAAAGAGAACTGAACAAATAATCAGCAGGTTCTCTGTCAACCTCCTTATTAGTTCTGCTTACACAATAAACACTGTAATGCAGGCAGCTAAATTCATTTTGTAATGGAGTCAGAGAAGACAATAATCCAGGTGTCCTCAAACTAAGGCCCAGGGGCCGGATGCGGCCCTCCAAGGTCATTTATCCAGCCCTCGCTCAGAGTCAACCTAAGTCTGAAACGACAAGAACAACAATAATCCTATCTCATCAGCCAAAAGCTTGAAATACTAATAAGTGTATATTTGTTAAAAATGTTCTTCATTTTAATTATTGTATTGTTTTTAAAGTTTCTTTTGCACTACAAATAAGATATGTGCAGTGTGCATAGGAATTCATTCATGTTTTTTTTTCCCCCAAATTATATTCTGGCCCTCCAACAGTTTGAGGGACTGTGACCTGGCCCTCTATTTAAAATGTTTGAGGACTCCTGCTATAATCCATACTGCTTTTTTTTCTTAACCATACTTTTCAAACTTGTCCTTTCTTTCTAATGTAGACAGTCTCTGAGAAGTATGAGATATTGTGGGATCAAAGCTCTTTACAGGAAGTGAGAGAACGTTGTGGTTATTTCTCTCTGGTACTTAGATATTTAACTTTTGCCACTCTGGAAATAAGTTTGTAACTCTTTTTTTGTATAGGAACCTTTGACAGATGCAGAAAGGATGAAGTAAGTATTTTAGTCCCTTTTTGTCTCATTTTGTTTTGCAGATCTTTTGTTTTACAGATTGTTGCATTAGCACATATTCTCTACTGTTGTAGTAGGGTTTGTTCCTCCAATAGGATCTACGGTTGACAAGGAAGAAAAACCTGAAGAAATAAATTTAGCTGAGTTTGTTTGTATGTACCTTAGCAGAAATGGCAGATAACTCATATTGTGTCCAGGCATAGACACCTGCAGTGATGAAGCAGCGTCCTTTTACACTATAGCAGGAATGGGCAAACTTTCTAATTTGGGGGTCGCATGGTGGGCTGGCCACATATGTGGTGGGGTGATCCCGTATTGCTTACTCCTGATATAGAATCCTGAAACCTAGAACTGGAAGAGACCCGCAAGGGCCATCCAGACTAATCCCCTGCCATGCAAGAAGGCACTATCACAGAACTCCTGATAGACAACCTCTGCAGAAAAGCCTCCAGAGAAGGAGATTCCACCACACTCCCAAGCAGCCTATGCCAGTCTCTAACAGCTCTTATTCTCAGGAAGTTCTTCCTAATCTTTTCAATCGAATTTCTTTTCCTGCCATTTGAAACCATTGCTCCCTTGTTTTCTGATCTCTAGAGCAGCAGAGAAAATCACCCCCCCCCCTTCCTCAAAAGGACACCCTTTGAAATCTTGAAACATGGTTCTCATGTTCCTGCTGTTTTCTCACAAGCATCCCCCAGGAGGAAGGAAAAAGAGAAGGAAGAAAGGAAGAGAAGGAAGTGTTGAAGGGAATGGAGGAAGGGAGGAAAAGAAGAAGGAAGGAAAGCCAAAAGGGAAGGAAGAAAGAAGAAAGGGGGAGGGGGAAAGAGAGAAGGAAGAAGGATAGGATGGTTAGAGACAAGAGGGCTCAAGGGATCTCATCCTGGCCTGCAGTCATTTTAGCAGCGTTAAACAAAGTCCTCAGTGTGTTTTTTAGATATTTTGTCTAGACAGATGGAAATAGAATTAGAAAAGGGGCCCTATAGACCACCAGGTCTAAACACTGCTCAATGCATTATCTCCAGCAGGAAGCTTTCTGAAGATATCAAGAGAAGGATGCCACACCACGTTTTTAATGCATTTGGTTTCATTGTCACTCTTACTGTCAAGAAGTTCTTTCAATAAAAATCTACCCTATAATGTAAAGCCATTAGACCTAGTTCTGCTTTCTGCCAACAAGCCTTCATCCATCTTGTGGCAGTCCTTGAAGTATTTAAAGAGTGTCATCATGTCATCAGTCAGTCTTCTCTTCACCAAGTGAGCAAGCTTGAGTGCCTTCAACCTTTCCTCATATGTTTTCTTCTATATATCTTACCATCCTCATTACCCTTCTCTGAATTCTCTCCAGTTTGTCTATGTTCTTCTTAAAATGTGAAAGCTGAGTTGTATTTTTTTTTGTTTTTCAGTCAATAAAGAATGTGCTAAGAAAAGTTGATAGAAATTTAAAAGCGCAACATAACCCTGCCATGCCATGTGTCTGAAACAGCTTTGAATTGGCCTTATTTCTTTCCACTCACTGGTTTGGAAACTGGGTCAATTTTACTTTGCTTGTACTGAATGCATAGTGGACAAGGACTGATGTTACTGAATTCTCTTCTATTCACTCTTGCTTGATTTTCTAGACAGCAATAAATTATTGAGTAAGTTTTGACTTCCAGTAGAGGAAACCTGAGCTACATAGCTGCATCTAGCTGCTGTGTTTAATCCACATAATGTAAACTGAGAGGAGATGTTGATATGGATGGGTGGCTTGCTGCTGAGAATAAAGCTGTCTTTCTTTGCTCTCAAAGCAGCATGATCAGTTGTTGAATTTCCGTTTTGTGTCCAAAGGAGATACTCATATGTACTCATGCCAGAACTCACAGGGGTTTGCAAGTCACAAACATAATCTGGCAGCATGAGACCAAGAATCCTCTTCTCTTTATATATATGCAGTTTTCTTTTGTACAGTGCTTCTGATTGTTAGAATGCATCCTATTTAATGCCTTTCACAAACACTCAACTTCTCTTTTCTTGTGACAGGCAGATCATTTTACCCCAGAATTTAAAGAAACTGGCAGAACCTAGCTTTGCCTGAATTGTATTTTTGAGAACATTGAGAGGGAGTTTGGGATGCCATCATAAAATGGTTACCATGCAGGAATAGCTTTTGTAGTGGATAGGGCCATCAAAACAATTGTTCACAGAAAATAAAACCATTTTTCCAAAATTAATATTAACAATGTGTTAGGAAAATGTGTCAGGAACCAAGTAAAAACTTTCCTGTGGAAACAGGACTTCCCTGAAGGAGAATGAATGCTAGACCTATTGTGTGCAATATTTGAACTGAATTAGACCTCCCGCAATTGATCTGACTATGGCCTAAGGGAACTAATATTAGATGGGGTTTTAAGCCTATTGAAGATTTTTACTGTGTGGTTTTTTTAAATATTAACTATATTTGATGTGTGTTTTTATCATTAGATAGGAGTATGCATGTGATGGGTCTATTTATTTTCATTCTGTGTGATGTTTTTGCTTTTTATATGTTCACCGCTTTGAGTCCCAATTTGGGAGAAAAGCAGGATAGAAATAAATAAATAAATAGAAAAATACAAATCTACATGGCAAGCACACAACAAATCTTACAGTTTGGGAACCCTTTTGTTCAAATTCCTCCTCCTCTCTAGATAAACTCTAAACACACTTCTATGCAGAAATATGCATTCCCTTCCTCAGCCACCTACATCTCTCTGCTGGCCTTTTCATTCCCTTCTCTCCCCCATATATTTAATAACTGAGAGTTCTCCAGAGTGAAATATCCAATAGCCAGCCATTCCCTATCTTCATTTCCTAAGAGAACCTATGGACCTGAGTCTAGAGGCAGAGTGAAGTGGCTTTGTCTTGAAGAGATGTGAAGAGATATGTGATGCCAGGAAAGATGTACAAATCTGTAGGTATAAGTAGATATGATCTGTGGGGTTGTAGAGGAGTCCATAAAAAATGTCCTTATGGCCCCAGGCTTAGTGATAACTTTCCTAGAGTAGGATGTATATAAGGCATGGGCAAACTTCAGCCCTCCAGGTGTTTTGGACTTCAACTCGTACAATTCCTAAAAGCCGGTAATCTGGTTGGGCTTTCTGGGAATTGAAGTCCAAATCACCCTGGAGGGCTGAAGTTTACCTGTGCCTGCTGTATGTACTTACTGAAGGATTCGAGGAACTGCAGGCCAGAATTAAGCTTTCTGAGTACTCCTGCAACTGAGAATATCCAGCATGATTTTACTTACCAATTGGCTTGCACATCATTTGCCTGCCAGTTTGTAAACGTGATTCTATTGTGAAAGTTAGCATTCAAACAAGAATCTTATGTTGAAAATATTAGCTTGGGACTCAAGTTTCATTGAATGGAGATGCATTTACAAGAGTATAAATCATACAAAACACAACTTTTACATGCCTTGTATTTTCTGGGCAGGGGGGGACATGTGAAGCAATCTTGGAATTTTTGAATAACTAGCCGCATTTTCCAAAATGCTTTTTACTTTTAATGCTTTGCAGTTGAGCTGAGTGGATATTGAATGTGAACTATTTTCTGGATATATATTTCTGTGGTCATTCAGAGTCTGAAAGTGAAGCATAGACCTTGTGTATGTATATTGATGACTGCAACTCTTGAAGTTACTGTTGTAATTACTTTAGGTTGATGCAACGTGAAAATGAGGAACTGCGTCGCCGTTTGGCCTATGTCACCAACAAAATGGAGGCAATGGAGAGGGAGTTAGAGTCTGGACAAGACTATCTGGAGATGGAGTTGAGTCAGAATCGTGAGGAGCTAGAGAAATTCAAGGACAAATTCCGTAGGTACGTCAGTTTAAAAGCATCAAAACATGCTAATGGAATGTGAAGAATGTGTAGGGTAAAAAATAAGCCAGTTGGACAAAAGCATATTTTCTTGTTCTGCAGCATCTCAGGTGTATATCTTTCACCATTAATTGTGCACTGATAATTTTCTATAAAATATAGATGCCCTTAGGTTTCCAGTCATACATTTTTTATTCATCATCCCATGTCTCAGAAACTTTTGTGTGTCTAAATGGGTCTTAATATTTTGCAGAGGCCAAATATTACTGTTTCCATTTGTTATGCTATCACTGATGGGCTTCATTTTAAGCAGAACTGATGACGCTATTATTAAGTACTACATAACATAGTCCAGCGATTCCCAAACTAGTCCTCCAGTTGTTGTGGAAATAACTACCAGAAACTTTAACTGCCTTGGCTAAAACACCAGGGATTCTGAGAGCTGTTGTTCAAAACTTTTGGAAGACCAGAGTCTGGGAAATCATTATATAGTCTAAAACGTTTCTTTTATAAAAGAAAGGGTTATAGCAGGGTGCATACTACTCCATAAAATAAAAAGAAACTCACTCAAGGATGGGAATATAATGTTGCAGCCAAAAAAAATAGTACAGGAAAAAAGAAATGTAATTTGGATATTTTAAAAACCTATGCGCTCTAACAACAAATATTGGAACCATTCTGTCTAGAAAAGCACCAATTTACTCTGTCTAGAAAAGCACCAATTTCACTTCCTTATTTCTGGAGTTGGAACAGCAAGTCATTAATTCTCATATTGAGGTGGGAGAGTGGTAACAAAGGTTATTGCCAAGATAAAGTAAAGGTTACCCCTTGACATTAAGTTTAGTCATGTCCAACTCTGGGGCTTGGTGCTCATCTCCATTTCTAAGCCAAAGAGCCGGCATTGTCCGTAGACACCTCCAAGGTCATGTGGCCAAAATAACTGCATGGATCGCCTTTACCTTTCTATTGATCTACTCACATTTGCATGTTTTGAACTGCTAGGTTGGCAGAAGCTGGGGTTAAGAGTGGGAGCTCACCCCGCTCCCCAGATTCAAACCGCTGACCTTTTGGTCTGCAAGTTCAACAGATCAGTGGTTGAACAGATTCATGCCAAAACATGTTTTGAGCTGTATAGAATAGTCCCTTTTCTAATGTGGCTGCAGAGTCCCTTGTAGCTCCTTGGTAATCTGGACACTTGTTTTTGTCTCTAGGCTGCAGAACAGTTACACAGCCTCACAGAGGACCAATCAGGATTTGGAGGAGAAGCTGCATGCCCTGGTAACTGACCTGCTGAACCTGTTTTGGGCCAGACTTTATGCTAACAGTTGGGATGTCTAGGGTATATAGTTGTTGTGTAGAGAGCCTAGAATGTAGTCAGTCTAATTTAGGATACAGCAACTTAAGAAGAGCAGTTGGGGTGCCTTCAAGACCTTTTGTATTGTGGTGAAAGAGTTTGGGCTCTCCTGCAATGTGGCTATGTGTAGCTTTGCTTTGTATCATCTTTTTTTAAAGGGCTGTAAGTGTGGTGTGTGTGTTTGCCACATGATCTGGGCAAGGAAGTTCATCGTGGGTTGTGGGCTATCAGATTGGAGCCAACATTTGTGTATTGTGTGCATTCATAACACTCATGGCTGTTTCTTTTCTCTCCTCTCTCTCTCTCTGTCTCTTTTTTCTTCCTATGCTGCGGCTGGCACATGTTCGGTGCGCTCACCTCTCAGGCCTCTCTCAGTCAAAGCTGGATTTTTGCAGTTGCGTCTTTTAGTTTGTGTTTTTCTTTTCTCCTCTTCACATGTCTCAGCCTGTCATGTTGGTCATACATTATGCCAGTCCGCTTGCATTGTCCTCGATGGGGTCCCAGAAGCCGAATCAACCAGAAACTTGGGTTTGAATAAAATAATTGGATTGTGGCCTGTTTTGGTCCATACTCCTATCCAGGATATATTGCTCCACCTTATATACTGTGTCCTAGACTAGGAAAGAAACTGACTTAGGAGAAAACTATCCATCTTGGGCTGAAAGGGAACCTAGGATCTTATTCTGCAATTCTCTCTGTAGGCACATAGATGGAGTTCTGATTATTACTATGCTAACTATTTGCATATTTAACTTGGGACCTTTCTAATTATACAGAAGTTACATTTAAAAAAAAATAATGCCCTATTTCTACTTGAGTTGTTATCTAAGACTATGCTTCTGTGACCTTTAGTCTTTCACAAACCACCCCTCCTAGTACCACCCTCAAAACATGCTCTGTACAACTCCCCTAACCCTTCTTTCTTGAAGATTTCAGAGGAGCAGGAGAAATCTAAAATGAATAAATTCCCTTAACTGGAGCTGATAGGAGGAGCCACAGGGACCAAACTAACAAAGCCTAAAGAGGTGTGCACATTCAGGACTTTTCATTCCAGTACAAATCCAGCATCCATTCCTGATCGTTTTAGCAGACTATCTGCATTCTACTGAGCCCATTCATTCTTCATCTGACACAGCCATCCTCTCTTGTTATAAAAAGGAATGGTGACAGGCTAGGTTAAAATTTAGTTCTGCCAAACCTAGTTAGAAGTTGTTGCAGAGGAAAGTCTTGGGAGTGATGGTGTCTATATCCTTGATGTCAACGTTAAAGCAGGATTACATATGGAAGAAGGTAGAGGACTAGAATCATGAGATCTAGAGCAAGGTGTCCCCAGTTCTTTTTTGTGTAAAATCCTAAATTTTGTCATGTGGGAAAATTATTATGTATATCTTTGGAGGGCTATATTTATTCTACATGTCTGGTTCCTTTGGACAAGTGTATTTTACGTACTTAGCACATAAAAACTGAAACCCTGTTTGCTTTTATTTGGGAACAAGCCTCACTGGACACACTGATGCTAATTTCTGAGTTGATACTCATAAAATTAGATCATATGTGAAGAAGATAGGTTTGCAAGTGAGTGGAGTTTCAGAGGAAAACTTTCAATGGATTGAGCTCTTTGCTCCTGTATATTATTGGAAAACATCAAATAAATTATGCAGAGCAAGAGTTTATTTGGTTCATTTGTGTATCTCTGTGTTGGGCAGAGTGACCCTCATCCTCTGCATATTTGCAGCCTCTAACCCTTGAGATTTTCCTGGATGTCCCCCCACCCCACCCCCCTTTTCCTCAAGCTTTCTAGCGTAAGGTGTTTGTAGCCCCTCCTATTTGCTTAACATAAGCATCCCTTTTCAAAACCAGAAGTCGGTTTCTAGCCATGTCTTTGGTTTGGACACATTTTTGTAGCCTTTGCAGTCCCTGAAGGGTCCAAGAGGCAAAGCATTGTCCCTTGGAGCTGTTGAAGTTGCCTACCATTCATGTCATTTATATAGTTCGAAGAATTACATTTTTCTTTAAGGTGTTTTATTCTGTTTCTTAATTAAAAAAAATACATAGGTTTCTGTAAATGTATTTTAAAAGATCATTTTCCCCCTTCATGTTACCAAAACATCTTTTTTCCAAAAACGGATGTCAAGTTGTAGGTGAAGAGGAGAAAAATGGTTAAAATGGCAGTGAGAAGTGGTAGGCAACTTCAGTGAGTCTATGACCATTCCCCCAACTGATGGCCAAAAAGTGGCAAATTACCAAATTTCAGTGCTAAACCACTAGAGCCATTAAAATAAGTAGAATATCCTTGTTTTATTCATTTGTGGATAGTTGTTCATAGTTACTGGCTTAAGAAGAATAGCTCTGGACAGAAGTGAATATTATTAAATGAGAGCTTGACTATCTGCTAATTCAGATGTTTCGTGGATGACAAAGTTCTGTACCTGTAAGATGTGTTGTTTTTATATGCTAAGTGAAATATACATTCGATGCATTCTTAAGGACATCTTAACACTACCAGGGAGCATTTCTCTTCGCTACATGTTTCCCTGCTGTCATATCCGAAACCTGATTGTCTAAGGAGCAACATTCATTCTCTGCATGGCGTGCTTGTCAAATAGATATGGCAAGCAGCTGTGCCAGGGAAGGTCCAATGGCAGATTGCTTTCCTACCTAATAAATGTGCAAGTTATTTCTACTAAGAAGATCAATGTAGAGTGATTGAGGCCATGTCTCCTTCTCTGTTAAAGTGGCAGAAAAATGGGGCTGTAAATTTTCTGGAGGGTACTGTGGGTTTTATTTGAAACAGAATAGGACAGAAGCAAAAACAGCTTGCTCTTTAGTAGTGGAGCTCATTACCTGTGTATTCTTGTACCCCAGATTAAGAAAGCAGAAATGGATCGGAAAACCCTTGATTGGGAGATTGTGGAGCTGACAAATAAGCTCCTTGATGCTAAAACTACCATCAATAAACTGGAAGAACTCAATGTAAGTAATCATGTACTTAGACCATGCATCCACAGAAAATATATTGAGTGGAAGCATCCTTTTTAAATAATACTGACAGGTGGTGTTGCCACTATGTGAAAACTTGAATGCTTTCTCCTCCCTGAGAATCATGGAAATTGGTGTCCCAGGAGAAGACTTGCTGCTTACAATTCATTCTAAATCTGATCTAGAACTAGGCCAAAAATCTTGAGATTCGAAAATGATTTGGAATGCATGATTCTTTTTTTTAAAAAAAATAGTATAATACATAGAAACTTACAATCTTCGAAATCAACAGTCAAAATACCAGTATTTTCCCCAATCCCACCACCACCACAACCCCATCCTCCCCCCCCCGCCCCGCTACATTAGCTGTGTTTATTACAATTGTTCAATCACGAAGATAGTCTTATTTAACACCGTATATTTATCTTTCCCCTTTATTCTGTAAACGAGACCCTTCCATTTTGCTTCCCATGTCCTTCTGTCTTTGACCCATGTCCTTGACCCGTCGTATAGTAACTTTTCCTTTTGCTAATAAAATCTTGGAGAAGGTAATCGGCTAGATATTTATACCAAGTTTTTATATCCCATTTCTTGTCCTCCCAGCCCAGGGCCACTGAGGCTTTGATTGCCACTATCATGTGTTTTATTATTTCCTCACTTTCTTTATATTCCCCTTTGCTTTCCAATTTCTGGGTGAAAAATTGAGTCTTGTTCCATTCTATATTTATCCCTAATAGCTCCTCCATTTCCTTCCTGATTATGCATGATCAGCATATCATTAAACTGTCTTTAGGGTGATATTTTTCTGATGCTTTGGTATTTGTTTTGCATTTTGTGATAAATTTTGTTTTATTATAACTAAAATTATTATTTTTTTCTGTTGACCTCACAAAATGATTTATTGTATATGCTCATGTAGTGGTCCAGAAATTTTATTCAAGAAGTAAATTAAAAAAAGTTGGCCTGACTTAGCCATGAGCTGATGTGAATCACCACAACTATTTAAAGGAACCTTCCTATTCTTGAGTAGAGTTGCAAAAGACAAGAACTTAGTCCAACCTGGGAGAACCTAAAACAAGCATGGACCTCCATCATGGTGTCATTTTTGGCCCTTTTGAGTGCCTGAATGGGAAAATGTAGCTAGGAGGAAATGACTGTGGCAGTGGCCCCTGAGGCAGTGTTGATGCTTTCTGCTCTACATGGAGTGATCACCAACTTATCCATAGGTCATATCAAAATTTTGGCCTCAAAACCTGCCCTATATATATGGGATTATACACAAGTATACTGTTGATATGTTTCTTTGTTGGCATTGGATGCTTGCCATATGTGTTAGAAACCACCCTGAGTGTCACCTCAGGGCGATAGGGCGGTCTATAAATAAATAAATGTTGTTGTTGTTATCTGGTATGCTCTGACCAGTTGAAAAATTTGCCAGGTATATTCCCGTTTGGGTCTCATTTATCTCCCACTGAGTGCATATCTGTCACTAAAATCATAGTGAATTGGGAACTTTTCATGCATTTTGATCTAATGATCATTCCCCTTAATTTTGGGCATCTCAATACTGAAATTGCTGAAGACATTGGTGAAAAGGAGAGCAAAGAGAAGTGAGTCTTTCAAAAAAATAAAAAAGAGTTCAATATGTGAGCTCCCACCTTTATTGCCCAGCAAGCATCTAAACCATATTTTGTTTGGAGAATTAACAGCAACTGTCATGAAGATATATTGGTTGGGAATAAAGTATTTTGAAAGGATTGATAGACAAGGTTGAGGAAAGAAGATGGTACCCAACGAAGGGAGTTCAGTTAATAGAATCATGGAAGCATAGAGTTGGAAGAGACCTTATGGGCCATCCAGTCCATTCCACTGCCAAGAAGCAGGAAAATCGCATTCAAAGCACCCCTGACAGATGGCCATCCAGGCTCTGTTTAAAAGCCTCTAAATAAGGAGCCTCCACCACCCTCCGGGGCAGAGAGTTCCACTGCTGAACAGCTCTCACAGTCAGGAAGTTCTTTCTAATGTTCAGATGGAATCTCCTTTCTTGTAGTTAGTACTGGCTCTTCCAGTAGTCTAAGAAGGTGACCGGGCTTATATGGAAGATTTTTTTGTCCCAGATACATGTATGTGACCACCTAATTACCATGTGATTTTATTTTTTGTACAGGAAAGGTATCGGCAGGACTGTAACCTCGCAGTGCAGCTCTTGAAGTGCAACAAATCTCACTTTCGAAACCACAAATTTGCTGATGTGAGTAGAAACCTTGAGGGATTTGATAAAAGAGTCCTTGTTTTTTAAATATGGCAATCTGAAGAGAGCTTATGAAATTTTAAACTTTTCCTCCTTTTTGTTGTATTTGAGTTTGTATATTGCCTCACACAGTTGTGGCAAATGACAAAATAACTTGATATTTTTTAACCCATTAAGTTTGCAGGTGTTTCAGCTGGATTTTAAAAAATGGCTGCGTGGGCCACAAGACATTTCTAGGCTTCATCAATAATACCAGATCTCTCATCTTTCAGTAGTGCTGGGCTCGGTCACATCTTAGGGACCTTTCCCCAAAAGATAGCACTATTTTATTAGTACTACAAATAGTAGTAGTGTACTTAAACCATTTTTCATCAAAGAAGCATGCAAATAAGACTACAGTTAGATGTAACCATAACAGTTACAGGGAAAGCAATCGAAATAGTTTGCAGAGCTACTTTGAAGACATAGTTGAATTACTCATTTGGTTCAGTTGAATTCCCTTTTTATTGTTTACCTAAATATCTGCACAGAGGTACCTGAATGCATGCCAGCAAGAAGAGTAGTCCAGCTTATTGGAATCATCACAAAGAGGGCTTCATCATTTATGTATACTCATATAGAAAAGCTTAATGACAGATACTTGAGAAAGACCCTTGACACATATTGTAATAGATTGAAAAGGTTTGAGGGTACAGATGGTCCTTCAAATAGGCTGGTCCCAAAACATTCAAAGCTTAAGTTTAGGTCTTTGATCTGGGATCAGATGTGTACTAACAGTCTGCTGTAATACTTTTATAAATCACAGCTCTCTTCACACATGTACCATTAATGTACAGTGATGTTATATGAACATAGGATGAAAATAGGTTCTTAGATTGCAAAATTGAATGGACTACTGAAAGTGCCTTTACTAGTAATAATAATAATAATAATAATAATACTTTATTTATACCCTGCTACCATCTCACCAGGGGACTCGGTGCGGCTTACATGAGGCCGAGCCCAAAATACAACAATACAAGCAATAACAATAACAATACAAGCAATTTAAAATAACAAAACAATCAACCAATAACACATACAATAGTAAAGGAAAATGGTCTGACTTTAGTTATGTAATTTCAGAATTATTCAGAAAGCTTTCTACAATTCCATAGGTGTTGCAATTCACCATAAAGATGATTTGGGAGATGTTACTCTTCAATTTCAAAAGTCCATATAACTGAGAATCAGCTTCAGTCAGAATCATAGAATCCTAGAGTTGGAAGAGACCTCGTGGGCCGTCCAGTCCAACCCCCTGCCAAGAAGCAGGAAAATCACATTCAAAGCACCCATGGCCATCCAGCCTCTGTTTAAAAGCCTCCAAAGAAGGAGGCTCCACCACACTCCAGGGCAGAGAGTTCCACTGCTGAACAGATCTCACAGTCAGGAAGTTCTTCCTAATGTTCAGATGGAATCTCCTTTCTTGTAGTTTGAAGCCATTGTTCCATGTCCTAGTCTCCAGGGCAGCAGAAAACAAGCTTGCTCTCTCTTCCCTATGACTTTCCCTCACATATTTATCTTCATTTTAAGAATGACATATTGTTTTTGTTGTAATTGCATATTCATTCTTTCATCATGCTTTCATATGAATAAGCAACAAAAACATGCCATTTCCATTCCTTTATGGTTTATTGTTCTCAAACTGAAAGCATGATGATATAGACTATTCCGTTCTGCTTGTTGCTTCCTAACATTTTGAATTTTTAGTCTTTTTTGGGGAATGTTTTTGATTTGTTCATTCCTTCTTTGCTATTTTATTCAGGATGGCCTTGAAAACACATAAAATAATATTGTTCATTGAGTAATAAACATAGCAACAATAAATCCTACATACGACATCATAGTACACTTTCTCAAGATTTTAAAGGTTAAAGGGAGCTATGTTAGAGGTTTATAACATGTTTTTAAATGTATATAGAAATTGTCTTCTCTCACACACACTTTTTCTGCAATACCTGAATCTGAGGCCATCCAGTGGAGTTGAAAGATGGGAGACTCAGAATGAAGTTCTTCATCCAGAATCAAGCTAAACTATGGGATTTACTATCACAAGATGTAGATGTCCACTAATCTAGCCAGTTTTAAAGGAGAAATAGAAAAATTCACAGCAGAGAGATATGGGCAGCTACTAGTCATGATAGCCAAGTGCTATCTTTAGAACTAGAGTTCCTTGCTAGAGATCATTAATGAAAGAGGGGCTCATGTTCTGCTTGTGGACTTTCCACAGTCATTCTCATTTATACTTCAAATCTCTGCCTCTCCTATTTCAAGTCTCAATGTGAGTAATGTGTTCAATGCAAGAAAAAAGATTTAAATAATAAGGAAAATAAACAATATTGTTTATATGTTTATCTCTCTGTGGCTTAGCTTTTGTGTTGCATGAACATTTTCCAAGACTTGACATCAGCCAAAAACAACATTTTTTCTCACCATTGTAATATTATGTACTGATGATGACACTGATGGATACAGATTTGATCAGTATTGCCGATTGTAATGGTATCTTCAAAAAGAGGTGAACTCTATGATTTTGAAGAGTTCAGCTCGCTTAGGGGTTTGCATTGACAGCTAAAGTCTGTTAGGTTTTAGGATAAAGCATACTAATGAAGGTCATATGCATATTCTACCAGAGGAATAAGTACTTCATAAGCCAGTTACCTGAGAACTACTTAAGACAACCCATATTATCAAGCAAGGTGCAAAAGTTTTTGTTTAAACTTTGCATTTAATTGTGGGTGTCCACATAACCTAAAACTCTCCTCTTTCTAGTTGGCTCACTTGATAATGCCAGTCACTGGGGAAGAGACACTAGTTAAGGCCTGATATGGGACACACATTCACATCACAGTCCTGCAGCTGTCCAGAGGCACATAATTCCTTCTGTTCACTGCCTACATGCAGACACTGTTGTGCCATCTCCTGCTTTGCCTTCCTTGATGCATCTGGCATAGGGGGAATCTTTAGCCAGTGGGATTGTCAGGCTTCTCTTATCTCTGGAGTCATAGAGTGCAAGGAGAACCATTGATTGTTATGCCAGGGCAGGCTGCCAAGGCAGTGGCCTATAATTATTACATGATGCCTGGGTGTTGCAGTTCTTCATAGTGGGGGTTGATCATTCAATCCAATGCAGCCTTCAGCTATTTTTTCCACCCATCAATAATACTGTATTGACCTAACATGCACTAGCAAAGATATTCAACATAGTGAATATACTTCTTTCTGTTTCTTCTAAGTGTCTTGTTTGTCAGACCTTGTTGCTTCTGTTGAGTCTGAAGGGAAAATATTTTTTCTTCAGAAATGAATACTTCTGAAAATGGCTGGTGGTATGAATAATTATATCTTGGATAAGTAGTTTTGGATTGCACTAGCACATCTTCCAAGTCCTGCTCCACGTATCTGTCATGCCCTACTACTTCTGATACCTTTTCCACATGTAATCTTCCTCCCAGTATAACTTGCTTTCTCCTTTTTTCATAGCTTCCCTATGAACTGCAAGACATGGTCAACAAGCACCTCCATAGCACTCAGGAGACTTCAGGACCTGGCCAGGAGGTCCCACACACCTTGGCCCCCAATGATGTTGTGCCCACTTCAGTTATTGCTAGAGTCCTGGAAAAGCCAGAGTCACTGGTGCTCAACTCAGCTAAGTCCAGTAGTGGCAGTTGCCCTTTGGCTGAGGATGTCTTTGTGCATGTAGATATGAGTGGAGCACTGCCTGATGCTTGCCCAAGCCCAGGGCAGTCTGGAAATGAAGGGTCAGGAGGAACAAGGCAACAAAATGGGAACTGCAAGTCACAGGCCTGTTTAGAGAGTGATGTTCCCACTTTTGAGAAATTAAGTCCATATCCTACTCCACCCCCTCCCCATCCCATGTATCCTGGCCGCAAGGTGATTGAATTCTCAGAGGATAAGGTAAGGATCCCAAAGAACAGCCCCCTGCCAAACTGTACTTACGCAACACGCCAAGCGATCTCCTTGAGCTTGGTTCAGGGGGAGGACGAAACCTGCGAGAGGCAGCGCACCCTTCCCAGTAGCCCCGCTTCAGAAGGGCAACGCTCAGCCTCCAGTTGCTCTTACCAGCCATCCCCCAAGGCGAACCGAGCCCCTGGTTCTTCACAGAGCAGCCCCTTCAGCAGCCCTCCACAGGTTCCTAGCACATTTGCTAGCTCAGCCAGCTCTGAGGAGGATTTGCTAGCTAACTGGCAGCGGATGTTTGTAGAAAAGGCTCCCCCAACCACAGAGCGGGTGTTGGTGAATCGCACATCGTTTAGCCGTGACACTGCCCAAGAGCTTCAGAAACGTTTCAGCCGCTCCATGCAGGAGCTGGGCCGTGCAGCCTCTGCCTACTCGGATGGGGAAGAGTCAGTGCAGAGCTGTAGCTGGACTGTGAGCAGAGACTCAAGTATGGACACAGACAGCACAGAATCCCGGGCCCGCCAGAGTCACCTCTCTTCTGACTATGGAACAGACTTCTCTCAGGAGGAAGCCCGCAAGTTGCTGCAGGAAGCTGGCAGCGAGGGGCTGGCAGATCCAGCCATATCTTCCCCAGGGAAGCACAAAGACTACGTAGACCTAGACTCACCAGGGAGTCCAGCCGAAGAGCAGGGAATGCTGTTGCAGGGAAGTAAGGAAAACAACCAAGATGTCGTTTTGGAGCAGAGCACAGAAGGTGGCAAAAGCAAGCCTCCTGGCCGCCCACATCGCAGCCCCAAGAGAATGGGGGTTCATCACCTCCATCGGAAAGATAGTCTCACACAGGCTCAAGAGCAAGGCAACTTGCTCAATTGAGGGTAAGGAGGAAGAATGGTCTAGGCTGCCCTGGTGCAGTATTGCCTCCAGTGTTGTTCCCAAGGGCTCCACTTCTAGTTCTGAGATCTAAAGGATGACCACCATGGCACTCCTTGCTAGGAATTCCAGGCCATTTTTATATATTGTTGTATTTTTATTACACGTGAAGAGGGAAGACAGCTCTTTTGCAGCACCTGAACAAAACACTTGGATGTACACCAGCACACCACTCCTGTGCTTGTGTCTTCACAGCTCAGTTTGCACTCATTCTCCTTTCAGTTCAGTTCTGCCTTCACACTCCTGTTCCTTCTAGCTAATGCGATACCATATTTTTGATTTCAAGTTATGTCCTGGGACACCTCAAGCCTGTATACCTACTTTTTCAGTTTGTGCCAAGACACAGGAACATTTTCTCCCTATTTTTCTTATCTGAACCCTCTACCAATCTGCCATGATAAGGCCATGAATGAGGTATGAAGGCTTCCATGGGTGCATGTCCTCAACTGTCCAAGCATTATTGCTTTTGTTTTGCCGCATTTGTTTTAGTTTCTGCTATTGCATATGTATGCATAGGTGTGAACAAGTTGGACAATACTCGCAGAGGTCACAACTGTGAGCTCCCTTGCCCTCTAAGTGATGATCAAGTCATGCTACTTGTTGGGATGACCTTCAGACTCTGAAATCTAGGTTTCATCCTCCCAAGAATGGGATTCAGCGCTTCTAGTCACTCAGCAAATTTAAATGGTCTGTTTGCCATGGTGGGCTGGGTTATGCGTTTGTCTCTGTATTACTGTCATGTCAACTCTCAGTCTGTATTTCATTTGAATGTCATATTCTTTGTATATTCTTTCAGGTCTCGAGTTTTTTAAATGTGGTCTGACCTTTTGTAAATGAGCAAAAATCTTGCAGTACCCACTGTACAAGAAGAAACTCATTTAACTCTTTGTTGTTGGTGTTGCTCTATATCGTATCCAGTGTTTCTTCACCAGCAGAAGAAAAGATTCTTCTTGATCAGGCATAAAGAAGTGCAGTCACTTTACCTCTTGAGGACTCTCCTTGGCATAGAAGATGCCTGTCCTTGTTTGAACACCCCCCCCCCCCCAAAAAAATATCTTCATAGCCAACTAATGACAATGGGCATCCCTGTTTGGATAGGGCTCCATACTAAAACTAGTGCCTTTCCAAGGCCTTATCTGAGGCCTGATATTTCCCCTTCCCCTCTATAGTTTGTCTCTTCAGAAGTGTTTTCTGTATTTTTATTTTAGTTTGTGTTCTTTGTGTATGTGCATGTTGCTTGGGGGATGGATTGGGAAAAAATTCACAGTGTTAAGAATTATTCAGAGGGATAAAGCTTGATTAATTTTGCGAAATGGGCTCAGTTATATTGTCAGATGCCTTTGTCTGAATGAAGTCTGTGATTTCCCACAGGAGACTTACCCCTTGAAGCCTTTCTCCTCAGCACAGGGAGTGTTCTCCCCTGGAAACACCAGCAAAGCAGTCTAAAGCTGCCAGTAAAATCCCACTCACAACCCTGCAGGACCTCTCTCCTTACTTTTTCTGCACTCATTAAATGGATGGCATAGCCAATGTTGCACACTTCTCTGCTTGTAGTGTACCGTGCTTGTGCAGTTCCTCTGTTGTCTCCCACTTTAGCCAGGGTCTGCTGTGCATAGCCTTGGACAGTTTAGCCATAGCTGATTATAGATGTGGCCTTGTTTAAATGTTTGTTACCTGGCCACTCCTTTCGTTAAGCTGCTAGGTTCTGGATCTTGGTGTTGGGATGTGATTCCGTATTTTTGATTCAGCAAAGCTAATAAACTGGTGCTAAATATGGACACTTTTCCTTTATCCTATAACACATCATGCCCCTTGAAGAAGTGCTCCCCAAAGAAATGACCCAGGCTGCTGCTTCCAGAGTAAAAATCCAGGAAACTATGTGAATATGTAAAATGGAAAAAATATGGTAGTGATCCCTGGAACTTATTTGGGGGGGGGGGGGGGGGGGGGGGGGGGGGGGGGTGGTTGCTGGTCTATCACATCAGATAGTTTGAACGGTACTGGTTCTGGTTTCTTCAGTCTTTGGCAGTTCACTGCTCTGCTCACCCACTTTGTTTTTTTGAATCTTTCTTTGTTCTGAACTTCCGTTTCTTCCTACTGGAGCCTTATAGTATTCTCCCTTTCTCCTTTCAAGAGCTATTGGAGATACAAAGACTCCAGCGATGATCAGTGGCCTCTCATATATAGGCAGTATTAGACAGACACAGTGTTGGTTGAAATTGATCTTTTAATCATGTTGAGTTAAAGGCTGGGAAGGAAGATAGGCGACCCTTCTTGAGTGCAACCAAGCAGTGCTGCTTAACATGAAACGCCATGGCAGTGAATCTTGAAAGAGAACTGAGGGGCTGAGGCACTAGTTCAAGACCAGCCTTCTTCCCAGAGTGTTTTTTTGTATGGACCTGCCTCTTCGTCCTTGGCATCTTGTTCATCTCTGGCAGTATTAATTCTCTTGGGGAGTATGAGTTGCCTTCTTTAGTTGTCCCACATTTTTACAGTTTCCCACCTCAAGACTGTTAATCCCCAACTAATGTTTTTTTTTCTGAGATTTTGACACTGATGATGTATATTTTAAAGTCAGAAATAAACTATTTTAAAAGTATGTCTCAGCATTTCTGCTTTCCTGTAGCAAAAATTAAAATGTGACCAATCTTCTTGAATTAGGGATCATTAGGACACTATATGTATTGCTAGTTTACTTCTGGAACTGTTACTGATTGTGCTCCAACCACTGTAGGGTTTGGTTTTGGCCTTCTAATTTAAGGAATGCTGGAATAGAAAACAAGCTATTGATTTAGGGCAGGCATCCTCAAACTGCGGCCCTCTAAGTTTGGGCCTCCAATTCCCAGAAGCCCTAATGAGCTTGTTCAATTGTCAGGAAGTCTGGGAGCTGAAGGCCCAAACAGCTAGAGGGCTGCAGTTTGAGGGTACCTGACTTAGGGCAATGGGGTTTTTTTAAAAAATGGAGGCAGGTTTTACAAGTGCCTTTACTGCATGGTGTCTACAGTCTACACTTTTAACTTAGCTCCATGCCTGTCTCAATTTCTTCAGATTTTTGAGCTACAATTTCCAATTATTCCACCCAGTGATCAAGAAGGTGGAAGATGCAGTCCATTGGGAGGAACACAGGATAGGGAAGGTTGCTGTACGCCCCCGGCAAATCATGGGAAGGTGTTTTCCAGAAACTCCTTATTAGAAATTGCAAGGCACTGCTGCCTCCTAGTGGCACTTGTGGTAGTTCTATTATTTTGATAAATGATTGAACACTAGGTGCTATGGGGCTACGAGGAACAGACAAAACCTCTGAGGATTCCTTGCCTAAGAAAACCCAATGAAATTCATGCAGTTGCTATACGTCAGTAGATTACTTGAAGACTCGCAAACACTATGGTTCAAACTCTTACATTAGGTAATTTAGCGAGCCTATGATATATCTGAACCCTTGAACAAACCATACTGAAAAAGTATAATGCTCAATATGTTGGATGACAACATATTCAAGGAAATGTTTGTTAAACACCTACACCTAGCCCAGGTGGAGATTGCATTACCCATTATATCTCCCCCCAAGACAGGTATAGTACTGGGATACACATATTTCTACATTGTCTTTAATACCTTTTCATAATCTATAATGGCATTATATTGATCTCAAAAGTTTAATATTCCTGTTTCGAAGATTTCCTTGATTTAGTTTTTTTAAAGGTATTATTATGGCTAAAGCTTCCGGCTTCTTGTGGAACCTTAAATGTAAGTTCTCCTTAATACAAAATATGGCTGCTTCTGCATTATTACTTGAAACCATATCTACACAGAAAGTGTTGTGTGTAATGACTAAAGTAGTAAATCCTTGTATTTATACAACTTCAGGAAGCTAACAGCTGATGAGAAACTCAAATTATGTGCATTAGTTTGTGCAGGAAGCAGTCTCTGAAGCTGGAACAAGCTGGAACAAGAGCTGGCCACCCCTACTCAGCTGACCACCCTTACTACACCAGATTTTCCTTATTGTGATGTTGCATTTAATACAGTGAGAATAATAATATGCTTTCTTTAAGACTAATGCATTCAGTCTCTTTTTTCTAAGATATTTCTAGGCCTGACTGGCTGTTTCGGATAGCTTTTGTCTCCAGTGTCCTATTCCAATGTATTCAATTTAGACCCCCTCCCCTTTTTTTTCCCCTAGTACAGGATCCAAGGTAGCTTTGTGAAATTCAAAAACATTAAAACAATGTATTTGGAGGATTTCTTCTTTGCATGGTGGGCCATAGGATAAGTAAGTATGTTTTCATGGCAGTGTTGGCAACATGAAAATCAACTCTTCTTAGGGACAGTGTTGTTTCCTGAGAGAATAGCCTGTATTCCCAAGATGTTGGGGACAAACAAACATTATTGTAATGTTATTGTAACTCTACTCAGATGAATAAGTCTTTTGTCCCTGTATAATGTCTAATCCCTTGAAAGTTTTCCTGCTCATGTGTGGTTAGAAATGAATGTGCTTCAGAAAGCCACAAGCATGTCATTTCTGTGAACTTTATAAAATCCTATTCAGGACATAGATACAAGCAATAAAAAGAGTATCTGTTATACATAAATATACACATCTGAATAAATAGAACCCCTCCCCCCGAAAAAAAGGTCAGTTGAGAGTAGGCAGAGTCTGAAAAATACAGCAACTGGACAATCACAAGCAACTGACAAAGTTATAGAACACAGGTTAATTTGGGTCAGGTCCCAGTGTAGAGCTAAAAGGTGACTTCAGTAAGACACAGTGTGTGGAGCAGGCCTAACAATTGCACATGGACATATGAACTTTCACACTTTGGCCTAGTGCATACACTCACTTGCAAACTCACAAGCAACTGTTGACATTCACACGTGATATGTGTAAATGCATTCCCATGAACGCGCACACTTCCCACATACAGAGAAACTATATTTTTCATCAAGAGGCTACTGGAGTTTCCTGATCACATCTCTGTTTCTGCTAATAGACTTTCTCCAAGGCCTGATGTTACCAAAACCATCTGGGAACTGGAATCTGAAATGAAAAGTGTGATTTTGCTAATGAGTTGGAAGGCAGACGTTATCTGTACATAAAGCGTAGGCATAGTTTGGGGACAGCTAAAATTATTAGCAGGGACAATATTAAAGGTAAGAATGCAAGCATCTACAATCTGAAGCGTTCCAGAAGAAAGCCACTGAACTTTATCCCCAACTTGTATAGTCAGTGCTCTTAGACTAGGGAGTGTAGTTGAACTATTCCTCCCATCATCTCTTACCTGACGACAACTAAGATCTAAAGTCTGGAGAGCCAAAACTATCTCTGGCTTTTTCAATTTGGTGTCTTCCATATATATTTGGATTACATCTCCCAGCAGTCCTGATGACTGCCCAGGCATGAGGTTCATGAGACTTGAAGTTTTTAGGGAGTGAGTACTTATCGGGAACAGACCGTCCTGGCTATGTCCAAACAGTTCTCATTCATTCAGATTTAGGATGTGATGCTTTTAGAGTCTGCTACACTATTAATGTCTGACTACATAAAGAGGCAGTCTGTCTCCTGTTGTAACCAGAGAAATCATTAGTTTAAGTGCCGTAATAGAGCTCCCATGCAGATGTGCTGCCTTTTGAACTGAAGCTTGCCCATTGCCAGTTTCCCTTCACATAATGTGGTCTGTTAATGGGACTCTAGGTTAGGTTCTGCGAGTCAAGTTTCAGTAACTCCATCAACCATTGTAATTAGATGACAGTAGTACTTTCCTACCTGACAAAAAGGTGGAGAATAATAACCAACAGGCTTGACAGGAAACACATTAGTCTTAGATATCTTCCAAATAACTGTCCTTTCCAGTTAAGGTTTTGCTCTGTTGCTATAAGCCAACAAACCCCAAGAGGCTAGATCATTTTGTGGTTGCTGTTGTTGGTTTTCTAATTTAGTATATCAATTTGTAATTCAAAAAATGGAGACAAAATAATCTCTCCTGGATCTTTTCTGAGGCCCATCTATGCCAACGCACTTGTTACAAGTGTCCAATATGTTGCCTATGATAATTCTGCCAGCAGGATAGAGCAAAAGCACCCTCCTGCTCATGTTCTCCCAAAGTCCTATGTGGAGGCATACTGCCTCTGATGCAGAAGGGAACATGTTCCTCAAGACTAAGCAAGTAGCAAAGGCACCAGCTGCTGGGTTGGAGAAGATAAAGGGCTAGGCTTCATACTACAGAGGGGAAGGATTTTCATTATGAGTAACTACTGGGATGCAAACAGCAGCCACAAAAAGGAAGCAATGAAGCTTTGCGATTTGCTTGCCTTTTTTCAAAAATGAGCTGAACACAATCGTTTCCCAATCTTGCCAACCTCCCATTCCCCCTTTTCACCGCCACCTCTCAGTGGGGGCTCAGAAGCCTTACTGCTCTGACAGATCCAGGAGTTCTTCTCTCTGGCCATGACTTCACGATTCTCCGTCTCTTCCTCTTCCTCACCCTCAGAAAGAAGGTCAGAGATCTGCTGCTGGAGTTCAGGGCTGATGTTGTTTTCTGCCAGGATCAATGTCCGCAGAGCAGTTGGGTAGTTTTCCACCATGTCCAGCAGGATCTGAAAAGGATAAGAGCCAGAGGCAGCTGTACCAGAGAGCTCAACTTAAGAGGACAACCAGTGAAAAAGAATGCAAGAATCGGATCTGCTCCACATACAATGGGTTTGGCCTGAAAATTTAAGCTCTTTACTATAGTTGATTTCAAAACCTACTGGTTGAGCCTCCCTTATCCAAAATCAATAAAATACAAGCAGTGTAGTACACACTGTATTTGCAAAGCCTGAGAAATGTGGATTCACATAGTATTATGGCTGGACTACCTTAAAGACTAACGGGGAGAATAAATTTGGTAGCACAAGCTTTGGTAGCCTAAGTATTCCTCAGATGGAAGATACTTCCTTTTGTGTTGCTGAAGGTTTTCATCGCCGGAAGTGCTAGGTTGCTGTGAGCTTTCCGGGCTGTATGGCCATGCTCCAGAAGCATTCTCTCCTGATGTTTCACCCACATCTGTGGCAGGCATCCTCAGAGGTTGTGAGGTCTATTGGAAACTAGGCAAGTGAGGTTTATATCGCTGGAATGTCCACGGTGGGAGAAAGAACTCTTGCCTGTTTGAAGCAAGTGTGAATGTTGCAATTGATCACCTTGATTAGCATTGAATGCCTTGCAGCTTCAAAGCCTGGCTGCTTCAGTGCTAATCAAGGCGGCCAATTGCAACATTCACACTTGCCTCAATCACATAAGAGCTCTTTCTCCCACCCTGGACATTCCACAGATATCTAAACCTCACTTTTCTAGTTTCCAACAGACCTCACAATCTCTGAGGATGCCTGCCACAGATGTGGGTGAAACGTCGGGAGAGAATGCTTCTGGAACACGGCCATATAGTCCAGAAAACTCACAGCAACCCATACTTCCTTTTGTATATGAGGAAGCAGGCTGCAGGTTGCTACCGCTTTAACTTACATGGCTCAATGCGAAGGAAGATCCTTTGTTTACTCTGCCAAAAAGTGCCGGTGTCTCACAAAACTACAAATCCCAGGACTCCACAGTATTGAGCCACAGCAGCTTTAAACTATTGATTCTAACACACCCATAGTCAACGAAAACTTATATTCTCTGTTTATCTTTAAGGTGCTACAACAGGCATGGGCAAACTTTGGACCTCCAGGTGTTTTGGACTTCAACTCCCACAATTCCTGCTGAATTGTGGAAGTTGGCGTCCAAAACACCTGGAGGGGCCGAAGTTTGCCCATGCCTGTGTTACAAGATCTCTTTGCACACTAATATTCCAGACACAATACAGCTCCTAATTCATAGTTCTTTAGGTTCTCTCTATATAAGAGAAAGAGTGTATTTGGGGTAAATGATGTGCAACTCATTCTGCTGGCTTTTATGACCTGGAAAAAGACACAAAGTGCAACCAGGGGCCATATTCTCCTTACCAAGGCTGATTGGTTAGTAAGTCCTGTTCCTTCCAGGTCCAAAACTTCTAGGGTCCGGCTGGATGCCACAGAAACTGCCAGCATTCCCGCTATCTGGTCACCTAGGGAGCAGAAAGCCAGAAGATGTCAGTAGACCTCAGGCAGCAGGGTCCAAAAGGCAGCATGGCAACTTCAGTGCCTCCTCTTCCCTTGCCCCAGACTGACACCCTGAGTCTCAGGGGCAGATCCAACAGGTGCCAGGTCCCCTCTCTCTGGGTAAAGCAAACCTGCCTGTTAAGCAGCACAAGACGCTAGGGAGCAGTGATAGCTCAGTGTTTATGGGCACTGCTCTTCTGTCCCTTGCAAGTTGGCCACGGGAAAAGTGATGCCTCATTTGACAAGCTAAGCCCTGGCAAAGGAAAGGAAGGAGAGGAAAAGAGCGAGAGGGCAGGCTCAGGTAACGATGTGTGCCGAGGAGTGGCTCGGGTTCTCCTTCGTGTCCCGAGGCGGACGGGAAGCGAAGGAAGGGCCTGCTTGGTCTCAGTCTCACCAGCTGCCAGTTCTGCTCAAGCTGCGCAGCTGTGGAGAGAGCCGGTTCCCATGGCAACCACTGCCGGGGCGCCACTTTCTCCTTGCCATTTTTCGAAGAAGCGGCTGGGGGCAGGGACATGTTATGACTGCCAAGCCCAGCAAAAGGGCTGGATAAGAAGGCCCACGCGGCCAAAAAGATAGCATCCAGAACAGGCTAAAAACAAAACGAGGGGCTCCTAAGCCTCCAACTGAATCATAGGATGCTTTCCTCAGCCCAAAGCCAGGCCTGATTGCATCACATGGGAAGCCGTTTTCTTTGCCTTCCAGACCAAGGCTGGAAATGGTTTGCTTTTATATTCAAGATGCCCAGGGCTGTTTCCAAGTTTTCCAGATGTTATGGACTCCAACTCCCAGAAGTGCCAGCTGGTCCAGGCAGAATTAAGAGATTGTGAGAGCTGTAGTCCAAAATGTTAAGAGGGACCTGCCTTCGGGCATTGTTTGAAAAGCGCAAGCATAGGGATCTCATTGCAGCTGAAGTGCTGCTTGGTTTTGCATAAATACCAACCTGAGCAGGTAGAGGAAAGGCTGTTTCCAAGCAGAAGAGAGCAAGAGCAGGAGAGAACCTGGTCAGCCATCTTGAACAGCCTTTGCCCGTCAATATAGACAAGACGGCACAACAGGATGCTTGGTATAACATAAATACCTTTCCTAACCATGAGGAAATTATGCCTCCTTATTTAAATTTGCTGAGGGAAACTCAGTAGCAAGCGAAAGTCTATTCACAAATACAGTGGCAATGCTATTATCCCACTTTAAATAACCAGATTTGTAGTCTGGTTCAGCTCTGGAACTCTTAAATGCACTTCTCTAAACTCAAACCCCATTAGCATGAATAGGCCTCTGGATATATTATTTTTTTTCACTGACAACTGAAAACAAAAGCAAGGATAAAACACACATAGATCTGCGCTCCTCTCACCTAGGGAGTTGTAGTCCAAGTTCAGCACTCGCACCTGGGAACTGTGAGCCACCGCAATCGCCAGGCGCGCCCATCCTTTTGCGGTGATGCCAGGGTTAGCACTTAGGGTCAGCTCCCTCAAACCTAGGTCATAAGCAAGAAGCCAAGTAAGACAGGACTCAGGAGGTTGCTTGTGTATTCTGAGTTAATCAGCAAAGAATGTGGGGGATAGATCATAATCTCTCGTTCAGGCTCAATTTCAGGTTCAGTGTATTTAAAAAAACCAAAAACCAAAACAGGTAATGTTGAAGGCTTTCATGGCCTGAATCACTGGAATGTTGTGTGTTTTCCGGCCATGTTCCAGAAGCATTATCTCCTGACATTTTGCCTGCATCTATAGCAGGCATCCTCAGAGGTTGTGAGGTCTGACCTCTGAGGATGCCTGCCATAAATGCAGGCAAAACGTCAGGAGATAATGCTTCTGGACATAGCCATACAGCTGGGAAAACACACAACAACTCAAAAACAGGCAACGTAAAAAAATGTTAAAAATAAAGGCATGGTGGTCAGACATAATTGCAACAACAGTTATGTCATAGCTACCCTCCACAATGCCACTACATCCCTTTGCACCACCACCCCCCCCCCCCCTTAAGTGGCTGAGGGGGAAAAGGAAGGGGCCTGAGACTGTTAGGAATGGTGTTGGAGTTGAAGTCCAAAACACCTGGCGGGCTGAAGTTTCCCCATGCCTGATCTAGTGCCTTCCAAGTATTTATCCCATACTGAAAGAAAGGCTGGACAGATAGAGTGACAGAGATAAAAAAATAAATATTAAGCAGAATTTATTGGGAAAGCATTCTTAAAACACTATAGTTTCCCACTCTGTTGATAGAAAAATAACAGTATAAGTTCAGCTCTAGTCCCAAGCCCAGAGATATGCCGGCCAGTACCTGACTTGGCTCCATCAGGAGGCAGAAGCCCACAGATCAAGCTGATCCCTTCATCGCCTAGCATGCAGTCCCCCAAGTCCAAGGCCACGAGTGAGGGGTGAACGGAGAGTGCTGGGTTGAGGAAAGCCAGGCCAGCATCCGTCAGGGGGCTTCCATGGAGGCTGTGTGAACAAAAAGGGCAGGAATTACTGTTTTGTGTTGATTATTTGTTATTGCCTTCGTTTATTGAGGTACTGTGGGCTTGGCCTCATGTAAGCCACACCAAGTCCCTTGGGGAGATGGTAGCGAGGTACAAATAAAGTTTTATTATTATTTTTATTATTATTATAAAAAGAAGCCCAGAGTGGAAGCAAAGAAGAAGGGTTTGTTCATGTTATGGAAACCCTGTTTTTTATATAGTGCAACCATATTATTTTGCTATACAGAAAAGCCTCCTATGGAAGAGATAACATTGGTCTGTATGTTTTTGTTCTTTTTATCACTTTGGGCTACTGGTGCTGGGTCCCGCTGCTGTGATTAAGTTACTCTGCTGTACATTTATGAGGAGGGTCTTGCCCAACAACAGCAGGACTGATGGTCAATGGCGATGGAAGCTGTAGTCCAATAGATGGAGAGGAATCAGTTTCTCATTCCTGCTGTAGAATATTAACGAATGCTGGTTTTGCTTTATACCTCCCTATCTTGATCCATAGGGAGAAGCATGTAAGGGATAATAATATTAACAAGTGCTGCTACCTCTCTTACACAGTCCAAACAAAAAGAAGCCTGTTCCTGGGGTTAGAATGTGTGGCGGCTGATTCTAGTTTCCTAGATATGGTTATCATGATTTTCTATGGACATGCAGATAATGACTGGTATATGGCATAGGTTCTGTATTTCAAAAACTAGTTGCGATTGAGGAAAACTAATACTATTTTCAGAATTAGCAGGTCAAATATACCCAGAAGAAGGTTTAACATTCAAGGCACCAAAATGTGTTAGCTAGTATTATTATTCCAGAGAGATTAATCTGGAACGTTGTAACTGTTAGAAAAAAAAACTACCCCAAATATAGCAGAGTATCCAAAAACAAACAGGATACAAAAGTTGAGCATTAGCTTATTAGCGAGCAGAGCATGAAGTGCCGTGTGATGTGGCTGTAAAGAATTCAGAGCTTAGGAGGCAAACATGCAGAGTACAATCTTTAAATATCACAAATTTACAAAGATAAGAATAATAACTCCATTTCTTAATAGTTAAAGAACTGGGTCTGAGCTACTCTTAATAACCATCTATTCTAAGGTTCAAAGAGAGGAGGAAATCACCTATCACTATATCTCTCCTGACACACAAGCAGAGAGAGATCTCTCAAAGCTCACAGCACATACTCTCCATACTAAAGAAGGCAGAAGCCAGATTCTAAAAGCTTGCAGTAGAGAAGTATCCATTTTAAACAACCAATCAGAATGACAGCAGGGAGAGAAAAGAGAGGAGAAATATACATTCCCAACTGTCATACATGAGACATGGGGGAAGGAAAACCCCTAGTTTATACCTGGGGGTCATGAGGAGGTGTCAGAGGGGTTGCCAAAGACTATCAGAAAACACAGTTTGGCCAAATTCTATTATTGGTGGGGTTCAGAATGTCCTTTCACTATAAATCCCAGCAACTGCAACTCCCAAATGTCAAGGTCTATTTTCCCCAAACTCCACTAATCTTCATACTTGGGCATATTGAGTATTTGTGCCAAGTTTGGTCCCAATCCATCACTCTGAGTCCGCAGTGCTCTCTGGATGTAGGTGAAGTACAACTCCAAAACTCAAGGTCAATGCCCACCAAACCCTTCCAAGTATTTTCCGTTGGTCATGGGAGTTCTGTCTGCCAAGTTTGGGTCAACTCCATCATTGGTGGAGTTCAGAATGCTCTTTGATTGTAGGTGAACTATAAATCCCAGCAACGACAACTCCCAAATGACAAAATCAATCCACTCCTTCCCCCAACCTCACCTGTATTCAGATTTGTATTGGGTATTTGTGCCAAATTTGGTCCACTGAATGAAAATACATGCTGCATATTGGATATTTGCATTATGATTCATAACAGTAGCAAAATTACAGTTATGAAGTCGCAACAAAAATAACTTTATGGTTGGGGGCCACCATAACACGAGGAACTGTATTGAAGGGGTAGCGGCATGACTTGGCAGACAGAACTCCCAGGACCAACAGAAAATACTGGAAGGGTCTGGTGTGCATTCACCTTGAGTTTTGGAGTTGTAGTTCATCTACATCCAGAGAGCAGTGTGGATTCAAACAATGATGGATCTGGACCAAACTTGGCACAAACACTCAATATGCCCAAATGTGAACAATGGCGGAATTTGGGGAAAATACATTTTGGCATTTGGGAGTTGTAATTGCTGGGATTTATAGTTCTCCTACAATCAAAGAGCATTCTGAACCTCACCAATGATAGAATTGGGCCAAACTTCCCACACAGAATCCCATGACCAACAGAAAATTACTATGTTTTCTGGTGGTCTTTGGCAACCCCTCTGACACCTCCCCTGCACTGCCCCAGGGGTCTTGACCCCCAGGTTGAGAAACATTGGTTTAAGGCCTCATCACTGAGGTCGCAATCCAGTGCATCATTACCAAGGGATAAACTCAGTTCAACACATCCGGATTTGCATTTTTTTCCCCAGCAAAAGGCTTAGGATTGAAATAACATCCCAGGCGTCACTGTTCCCTGGTTGGATTCACCTTTGTGCTTAGGTGTGCTTAAGCACAGGATCCTGTTGGCCCTCCCTCCAGGTGTTGTGGACTCCAACTCCCACCATTCCTAACAGCCTGGGACCCTTTCCTTTCCCCCTCAGCCGCTAAAGAATGTTAGAATGTTGAGGCTGGCCAATCAGAAACCATATGCAAATTAGTAGGTCAAGATAGCATATGCATGGGCCAGCTTGGGCCTTCTAGGGGTTGTGGACTCCAACTCCCACCATTTCTAACAGCCTCGGGCCCTTTCCTTTCCCCCCTCAGCCGCTTAAGCGGCTGAGGGGGGAAAGGAAAGGGCCTGAGGCTGTTAGGAATGGTGGGAGTTGGAGTCCACAACCCCTGGAAGGCCCAAGCTGGCCCATACCTGTGATGGCCTATCGGAGTGTAGGCCTCCAGGTAGGGCCTCCTGCTTTGTCTTAAATCCTAATCCTGACCCCGGATACTCACAAGAGGGACTGGACGGAGCGGTTGGTCTGGAGGGCCTCGGCCAGCTGCTTGACCCGTCCCAGGTTGGAGACGATGCCCAGGTTGAGGTTGAGCTGGGCCAGGGAGTGGGACTGGGCCAGCCCTCGGCAGATGCGCCCGAAGTCCCGGTCGGAGAGGCGGCATCCTCGGAGGGAGAGCAGCTTGATGGAGTTCTCCCGGAGGCTCTCGCAGATGTCGCGGATCTCGGCCCCGGAGAGCGTCTCCCCGGAGATCTGGATGGAACCCGGCAGCATCGTCGCGCCTTCCAGGCAGGAGCAGAGCGGGGCTTCCTTCACGCGGGATCCATGCCCACCAAGGCGGTGAAGTCACCTGGAAGGCGCTGCAGGGAGAAGCGATGCCACCACACCAGCAGCACGCGGGTTCAGAGCTTTCCACGCGAGGAATCGGGACGGGTCCGCCGGGGAAGGGGGTGCAAAGGGCCGGCGCGTCCCCGGGGCTTGAGTCCCCGCCGGGGAAGCCGCCCCCTCCCCGGCGCCTTCCTCCCTTTCCACCCTTCCACGGCCGCGGAGGGAGGCGGGCTCTTCCTCCGCTTACCGCGCCGCCGGCATCTCCCGCCGCCTCCGCCTTCCCCGGCGGTTCCTATGGCACCGCAAATCACCCTCCTGCCAAAGCCGGCAGCAGCGGGGCACGCGGCGGAGCCCGCGCCCGCCTCCCCTGCCTCGACTCCCTTGCGCCACACCGCCCCCTCGCGGCCGTCGGAGCACTGCACAGAGACACAGAAAAAGGGGCTCCCTCTGTTGTGGCCTCCATCTCCCAGAATTCCTGGCTATTGAACCCGTTGGAAAGGGCTCCTGGGAATTGGAGGCCTCAACAGCTGGAAGGCCGCAGTCTGAGGGCACCTGTTCTAGGCCTATGCCCAGGCATGGGCAAACTTGGGCCCTCCTTCCAGTTGCTTTGCCCTTCAACTCCCTAATGAATAAACCTATGAAGGAAGACTGCCTTTTCTAGATGTCCTAGTCATCTGCAAACCAGATCAACAATTGGGTCACACCGTTTTCAGAAAACCCACACATACAGATAGATATCTACATAAAAACTCCAACCATCAGCCAAGTCAAAAAATAAGCACCATTAAAGCCTTGGCAGACCGTGCAAAAAGAATCTACGAACCCCACCTTTTATTATTATTATTATTATTATTATTATTATTAAACTTTATTTGTGCCCCGCTAGCATCTCCCAAAGGACTCGATGCGGCTTACACAGGCCAAGACCTCCTTCAAGATGAACTGAACCACCTCAACTGGGCTCTCCAGGCCAATGGATACTCCACCTCAGACATCAGAAGAGCTGCAAGACCAAGAACAAGCCATGAGAGTAAAGATGAAGATCCACCCAGAGGAAAAGTGTTCCTGCCATACATCAAGGGAACCACTGATCGCATAGGGAAGCTGATGAGGAAACACAACATACAAACAATCTACAAACCCACCAAGAAAATCCAACAAATGCTACGTTCAGCAAAGGACAAGAGGGATCCTCTCACCTCTGCAGGAGTCTACCGTATACCATGCAGCTGTGGACAAGTCTACATAGGGACCACCAAACGCAGCGCCCAGACACGCATCAAGGAACATGAAAGGCACTGCAGACTACTTCAACCAGAGAAGTCAGCCATAGCAGAGCACCTGATGAACCAACCTGGACACAGAAATGCTTGACCACTCTCACAACCACCATGTCAGACTACCCAGAGAAGCCATTGAAATCCACAAGCATGTGAACAATTTCAACAGAAAGGAAGAAACCATAAAAATGAACAAAATCTGGCTACCAGTATTAAAAAACTCAAAAATTACAACAGCAAAACAACAGAGAGTAAACAATCAGGCACATCAAATCACCTCTCAAATAAAGATTCCCCCAGGCACTTCCAAGCCATTAAATGCTAATCAAGGTGGTCAGTTGAAACATTCACACCTAGCTGCAGGAGACAAAAGTCCTTTGTCCCACCCTAGTATTTCCACAGATATATAAACCCATTTTCCTACTTCCAATAGACCTCACTACCTCTGAGGATGCTTGCCATAGATGCAGGTGAAATGTCAGGAGAAAATGCCTCTAGAACATGGCCTATAGCCCGGAAAACCTACAACAACCCAATAAATCTATATTTGCATACCTGGTAGTCGTTACAATACCAGATCAATGCCGGCTTATTAATAGCCTTTAAATGTGCACAGCAGGAAGCTTGCGGAACAGAGCTAGGTAGAGAATGCCTGTGGCTTAAGGAGAAGTTGAGACCAACAAAATACACAGCCACCCCACTTTCTCCCTTTAGGAAATACGTATGCAAATAACTATTTCAGACACAGAGTTAAAGATCAAAGAATTTACTTACTAAGAAAAGCTTGCATGATGTAAATCTCATACAGGTAACAGATCTTTCAGTTACATTCAGAGCAGTGAGTAAGGCCTGAAGACGGTAAGCAGGCCTCTCTTCTCCAAACAGTTACATCCCAAAAAGGTAGCAAAACACAGCAAAATAGCAAATGAACAAAATGAGGCAAAAAGGCAAAAAGAAGAACAAAGACATACATCCCCTTTATATACCCTTCCAAACATGTGGTCAGATGGTGACGTGCCATAAACACCTTTTCTAATGGTGGATAACTCATTAGCTTACATGCATATTTAAATCAGGTGCAATAAACTTTGGAATTTGAGGTCGCATTACAGCATGGCACAAACATGAATGTGTGTGAGATTGCTGAAAAATACACATAGAAAAACAATCCAAAGCAATACTTTAAAATTGTTGGAAATAGCAACCTTCCAAGTCTCCACTGTTTGTTAATGCATATAATTGTTAGTCTGCATGCTATGTGTATTTTAATTTGCCAGTTTGGCTTTTCTCTTTAATGTGGGAGGAGTTATACATGTGATTTTACTGAGGACTCCATTTTGTGCCTCTGTTTGCTTTTGGACTTCCATGAGCTAGAGGTCTGCTCATGGACTTGGGTGAGTACAGATATATTTAAAGACTTTTCAAGGCTACGTGCCTGTATGGGGAATATGAACCTACGAGTTTGTTAGTAAACCAGATATGTTATTTTTCAAAGAAGATTACTTTTGTTTTGTCTTTTGAATGCATGTCTTAAATAAGAGGTTTTAAGGGAGTGTATATATTTTTGGGCAACAACAATTAAAGGTAGGTAAAGGTTTTCCCTTGACATTAAATCCAGTCTTGTCCGACTCTGAGGGTTGGTGCACATCTCCATTTCTAAGCCGAAGAGCTGGTGTTGTCCATAGACACCTCCAAGGTCATATGGCCAGCATGACTGCATGTAGCCTAATTTCCTTCCCGCTGGAGCAGTACCTATTGATCTACTCACATTTGCATGTTTTTGAACTGCTAGGTTGGCAGAAGCTGGGGCTAATAGCGGGAGCTCACACCGCTCCCTGGATTCAAACCTGCAACCTTTCAGTCAGCAAGTTCAGCAGCTCAGCGGTTTAACCCACTGCGCCACCAGATATGTTATTTTGTTATGTTATTTTTCAAAAAAGACTACTTTTGTTTTGTCTTTTGGGTGCGTGTCTTAAATAAGAGGTTTTAAGGGAGTGTAAATATTTTTGGACAACAATTGCAACTGCAAATTCTACTTCAAAGAAACAACCATCCTCTACTGACATACATACACACACACACATATATGTGTGTGTGTGTGTGTATATATGTATATGTGTGTGTGTATGTGTGTGTGTTAGTGGCCTGTCTTTATCCTTAACTGTTTAAAGACATGGTTCCTCAGTTTAACAACTGAACTACCTGTGAGCTATTACATTAATGTTTTATGAATATCACAAGGTCATACTATTCTTTTGACTAGTGGTTTTCAGATGGTCTCTATGTTCATAGAGATTCACATTTTCCAAATGGAGGTGACATAATTTTTACCTTTGCAATAAGGTTATGGTGCATTGGAATTTCCAATAGATTATGGATTTTCCAATAAAAATTAACCCAAATTGGTTTTTGGAGGCAGTTCTGTGGCAAGGCTCAGACTATGAATGTGAAATGATGTTAGAAGTATCTCAGGTCCAAGGTGGTAAACCAGGCCTGGGCAAACTCTGGCCCTCCAGGTGTTTTGGACTTCAACTCCCACAATTCCTACCAGCCTACCAGCTGTTAGGAATTGAAGTCCAAAACACCTGGAGGGCCCAAGTTTGCCCAGGCCTGCAGCAAACCCTTCCCAGCCTTCCCTGAACCATCCAAATGCTTCAATAGAAATGGAAGATGCTATCCAGCCCTCTTGTCCTTTACCTCAGGCAGGGAAATGCCTTGGGCCAGGCCTGCTCTGCTCCTAACTGGCTCTCCTCCTCAGCATTCATTAACACAGTAGGATTAGAAATGGCAGCCAAAGGGCAGGAAGGACTTGTACTCTATTAAAGGATTACAGTTCTTAATCCAGCACTCATTTTCCCTCAGCTTTCCGTTTAGTACGGTAATATGGCTGGGAATAAAGGAAAACCTAGCCCAACAAACCCAGAGGCCGATTGCTTACAGAACAAGGCAACTCTGCCATAACCAGGCCTCTCCTTTTACTCTTACTTCAGCTTGCCACTCCTTTCTGTACTGTTTACACTGTGTCTGCCTTTGAATTTTAAACTCTACTGTACAGCAATTTATCCTCTTTTATCCCTTCAAAATGCTGTCTAACTGGCAGAGGAATCCTGTAATAAAATACTGTTCCTAGGCAACGATGGGCCTATTTCAACCTGCTGAGGCCTAGCATCTCACTGCAGCCTTAGCTGTGAGCAGAGATATGTGTGTGTGTGGTTTAAAAATATTTGTGCTTATGTCTCTGTCTTAAAAGTTCCTCATCCCATTGTGGACAGGAGGTTTGGATTTATTATAGTCTTGCTGACTTGTAACACTAAGATCATGGTTGTGCAATGGGTTAAACCCTTGTGCTGGCTGATCTGCTGACCAAAAGGTTGCCGGTTCAAATCCGGGGAGCGGGGTGAGCACCCGTCTGTCAGCTCCAGCTTCTCAAGCTGGGACATGAGAGAAGCCTCCACAGGATGGTCAAAAAATCCAGGCATCCCCTGGCAACATCCTTGCAGACAGCCAATTCTCTCACAGTTTCTCAAGTCGCTCCTGACACAGAAAAAAATAATAATATGGAAACCTAGGGTTTGTAGTTGAGCAAGAAGGCATTTAGGCCTCTCTAATTCTCTCTCCGTGGGGCGCCACGGAGCCCCCGGTGGCACAGTGGGTTAAAGCACTGAGCTGCTGAGCTTGTTGATCGAAAGGTCGCAGGTTCGATTCCGGGGAGCAGTGTGAGCTTCCACTGTCAGCCCTAGCTTCTGCCAACCTAGCAGTTCGAAAACATGCAAATGTGAGTAGATCAATAGGTATCGCTCCAGCAGGAAGGTAACGGCGCTCCATGCAGTCATGCCGGCCACATGACCTTGGAGGTGTCTACGGACAACGCCGGCTCTTCGGCTTAGAAATGGAGATGAGCACCACACCCCAGAGTCAGACATGACTGGACTTAATGTCAGGGGACTACCTTTACCTTTCTAATTCTCTCTCAGACCCAGTATGGTATATTGGTTTAACTGTTGGACCAGGACTTCATGAAATCTGGATTAAAATCCCTCATCAGCCATGGAAACCCATATAGTTCCATGATTCATGTTGACAGAAGTATTTCT